TTGTATGAGTGAGGTTTGTAGTTTGTATGAGTGAGGTTTGTAGTTTGCATGAGTAAAGTGTCGTTTTTACGAGTGAGGTTTGTCGTTTTTACGAGTGAGGTTTGTAGTTTTTACGAGTGAGGTTTGTGTTCAGGAGCCGGACTAAGAACATGATGTGGTACGGAGTTCTTGGAACCAAAGAGCTGCTGCACAGAACCTACAAGAACCTGGAGCAGAAGGTTCTATTGGAGGTGAGACCCACAACCAACCGGTGCTGCTCCAAACATCATCATCATCATCATCATCCTCATCATCACAGGTCTAACGTGTGTTTGTGTGTGTGTGTTTGTGTGGACAGTGTGATGGGCGTCCGATCCCTCTCCCCAGTCTTCAAGGCATCGCTGTGTTGAACATCCCCAGTTACGCAGGGGGAACCAACTTCTGGGGAGGAACCAAAGAGGACGATGTGAGACCTGAACCTGTCTGTCTCTCTGTCATCTGATGTCTTCCACTGTTTATCCGTCTGTCTGTTTATTCATCGTGTCACCTGTCTGTCTCTCAGACGTTCACAGCTCCCTCCTTTGATGATAAGATCCTGGAGGTGGTGGCCGTGTTCGGCAGCATGCAGATGGCCGTGTCTCGAGTCATCAACCTGCAACATCACCGCATCGCACAGGTACACCTGTCTGTCTGTCTGTCTGTTCATCTTTCTGTTCATCTGTCTGTCCGTCTGACTCTCTGACCCCGTCTGTCTCTCTCTCAGTGTCGTACGGTGAAGATCACGATCCTCGGTGATGAAGGCGTCCCGGTGCAGGTGGACGGGGAGGCCTGGGTTCAGCCTCCAGGGTACATCAAGATCATCCACAAGAACCGAACCCAGACCCTCACCAGAGACAGGGTGAGTACTAGACCAGACCCTCACCAGAGACAGGATGAGTACTAGACCAGACCCTCACCAGAGACAGGGTGAGTACTAGATCAGACCCTCACCAGAGACAAGGTGAGTACTAGACCAGAACAATACCAGAGACAGGGTGAGTACTAGACCAGAACAATACCAGAGACAGGGTGAGTACTAGACCAGAACAATACCAGAGACAGGGTGAGTACTAGACCAGACCCTCACCAGAGACAGGGAGAGTACTAGACCAGACCCTTGCCAGAGACAGGGTGAATGCTAGACCAGAACAATACCAGAGACAGGGTGAGTACTAGACCAGAACAATACCAGACACAGGGTGAGTACTAGACCAGACCCTCACCAGAGACAGGGTGAGTAC